TGGCCCCGGCACTGATTGCATCGCACCCTTGACCCATTGGACCTGTCCTGGTACCAGCACTGCGCCCCGCCGCCGTTGGGCCCCCGCCGTAGACCGTGCCGTCGGGGCCAGCCGCGCCACGCGCTCCGGGTGTGACCCGTCCCCGTGAGCGGCCCTTGCTCCTCCTCCCCCTCCTTCGGCCGCCCTCCCGCTTTTCAATTTTCTTGCATTGTGGCACAATTCGCTACAACGGTGCCCCCGTTTAGTTGGCTCTTCCGCCGGCGCAGGAACTTTGCCTAGCCGCGTGCGCAAAAAGTTGGTGCTGGTGCTCATTTGCAAGCCTCGAAGGATGGTGTAACCATGGTTTCTCGGAGCTCCGCGCGGCTTTCTTGGATCGGCCCCCCTGTCGGCGCCTCCAGCGCCGCCCCTGGCGCGCGAGGGGGTCCAGCGCCGATCCAAGAAATCCGCGCGGAGCTCAAACAAATTACGTTTACGTGTTTTTTTTGTTCCTCTAGGTCAGGGGTGGCGGCATCGGGCCGACTATTCCCTTCCCGGCCGGGGTTCGCCCGCGAGGACGCGGGCCAGGGCCCAGCAGGAGCGGCGCGCCGCCCGCGCGTCTCGCCCTCGCGACAGTTGTGCTGTGCGCCAGGGAAGAGTACAGAACTCCTCCTGGCACCCGCGCGCCCGCGCACCGTGCATCACACCTTTTCCGAGGTGGCGGACCGCGCCGCCAACCCAAGGATGCCGAAACGAGGGAAAAATCGGGAAGTGGACACAAATCAGTGTCTGGGCACTCTGCGTCGGCCACACGCAAGAGCGATCCCTTGCCAGAGTGGCCCTTGATGCGCGGCTTTCGGGGCCTCGGCGGGGCCAAACCCAAGCACGCTGGCCGCGAAGCGTTGCCACGCCGCTCGCAGCGATCGGTAGACCGCGCAGTACAGGGCACTTTTGCCTGCGGCCGACATCCGTCAGCAGCATCGCCGGAGTGATGCCTGTAATTAGCAGCGCTTGCTTGACCCAGCCCGGCCCTCATGCGCGTGGGGGGGCCGCGCGCGGGGAGCGCGCCGCCACGCCTCCGAGCGTTGTCGGGGGAACCGGGCCCCTGGTGCGGCGACGCGGACACCCTGGGGCGCATACGTGCCCACATCCACCGCCCCCCTAGGCTCCCAGGACAACGTGGGCTCCCTGGGCCGTGCACGCGTGCACAAACCCCCGCCTCGCAGCATCAGGCTGAGCACCTGGTGTTCGGCTGGCCACGATCAGCGGACTGATGCCCGTCATCGACAGCGCTTGGCTGACCGAGCCGAGCCCTCCCGGGCCGAGGCCGTGAGTGTACCCCGAGTGGGGAGCGCGCCGCCACGCCTCCGTGGCGCAGGAGGAAGATCAGGAAGAGAGTGTGGAGGAGGAGGATGGCCAGAGTAAGCCCAACATTCAGCAACGATGCTGCAAGATTGTCTCCCATCTCAGGTTCCTTCTCTCAAGCATTTTTCGACAGGCCTTCTGATTTATTGCCAGAAGCGTTCCTTGGAACGACCAGCACTCCATGGGCCTACCGTTCAGGCGAGAGAGGAACTTCATTGCATCTTTTTTTGGGGGGGGAATGTGGGGGAGGAGGGGGAGGAGGAGGAGGAGGAGGAGGAGGAGGAGGAGGAGGAGGAGGAGGAGGCGGAGGAGGAGGCGGAGGAGGGGGTGGAGGAGGAAGAGGAGGAGCAATACTTCCTTTGCATTTTTTCGGGAATAACAGGTATCACCGTTTTGAAACACGAGCGACCCCACGTGTGTAACTGTTGCACAGGTTTACACTTCTGGCAACGGACTTCGAAGACATCTCAAGCGAGAGCCTTGTTTTGAAAGGGAGCCACCCTCAATCCGTGTAGCTTTTACGTATGGTCAAATTCTGGGTGCTCAAGTCTCAAGAAGTCTCGTGCGACCGCCCCCCCGTCATTTTTGAAAGCAATTGTCCTCCATCTATCCCTAGAACTGTTGCCAGCTTGTCAGACGAACGTGCGCGGCGCTCTGGCGAGACCGCCATTTTGAAAATGACCTCGCATCCATCCTTGTGACCGTTGCAAGCTTTACAGACGCATGTGCGCGGCGCTACGGCGATACCACCGTTTGAAAAGAAGCCGCCCTCCATCCTTGAAGTTGTTGTAAGCTTAGCGGCGAACGTGCGCGGCGCTGAGGCGAGGACCCCACTTTGGAAAGGAGCCGCCCTCCATCCTTGAACCTGCTGCAGGGTCTTACGAACGTGCGCGGCGCTGAGGCGATAGCCCCACTTTGACAACGACGCGCCCTTCATCCTTGTACCTGGTGCAGGATCCGAAGACAAAGTCACGCGGCTCTAAGGCGAGAGGCTTACCTGTTCAGTCCCACGTCGCGCAGCGTCCGCCGCCCACGCTTTCGCAAGGGCCGCCGCCGGGGCTTTGCCTGCGTGCGAGCTGCAGGACGCCCATGGGTTTTCTGCAGAGAGCGACGGACCCCACGGAGAATTCTTTGGGCTCCTGCTAGCAGATGGGTCCTCTTTTTGAGGCGCGGGCGTGCGCGCGCGTAACGGCGGGGTCGGGCGGCTCACACCTCGCGGCTGTGTCCTGGCCCCGTGCGTTCTCGCCGCGCGTTGAGCGCTGCGGTCGTTTCCCCACTCGTCCCCGTCCTCGTCCTCCTTGTTCTCCTTCTGCTCGCCCTTTTCCCCCCTCCAGGCGATTAGGTGGCTCCTCTCACCGTTGCGCTTCTCGCCTCTGGTTCCCCGCTGATTTTTCGGGCGATTGTCGCCCGTTTGGATTTCCCTTGCGCCATACTTGCATGCCCAAGCAGCGCGACGTGCGCACGTTACTCTTTTTGCCTGTCTGCCACGGTCAGCGTACCTGGGGCTCCCCGACTACACTCCGCGCCCGCTGCTGCCAAGTGTATCCGCGTTTTTGTTGTTTTCGGACGCCGAGTGTTCATACAGGCCGTCGCCATTCTGGCCACCACAGGCTTTTGAGACGAGTCTGCGCGCCGCTACGGCGAGAGGCCCATTTGGAAAACGGCGTCCCATCCATTCTCTCTTGGATACCTGTAAGGATCTCTCGGGAGGCCTCTCGGACGTATCTTGGGCTCTCGTGCGGAGGGCTCGACATGTCGGTTTATTTTCCTCTGTGGCTTCTCTTGGGGCCCTGTTTGGGCAATCTTAGGCCGTTTGGGGGGCCTCTTCGGCCGTCTTGGGGCCCTCTTGGGCCGTCCGGGGGCGCTCTTGGGGGACTCTGGGGCCATCTTGGGGCCATCTTAAGGGCTTCTCGAGGGCCTCTTGGGCTGCTTTGGAGCGTCGAACGCCCGAGCAGGCGAGAACGCTGAAATCCTTCCATCGCCAGTGGTGAATCAATCATTTTGGCCTCTCGGGGCCCTGTGGGGGGGGCTCCGGGAACCTCTTAGGGCATCTTGGGGGCCTTTTGGGCCGTTTGGAGGCCATCGTCGGCGTCTAAAAGCGATCTTTGGGCGATTATGCGTCCTCTTGGACCGTTTTGGGGGCCTCTTAGGGCCCTCTTTGGCCCGTCTGGGGGCTCTTGCCCCATTGGGATGTCACGCGACCAGAAACGAGAGCGCTCAAGAACGCCCAGTAGCGTTTGGAACTCGACATTGTGTGCCCATTTTGTAAATAATATGTCCATGCTCCATGCAGAGAACTCGAAGGGACCTGATGATACTCCACTTAGTGCCTTGAGGCACGGTGACGAATCTATTAGGATGAGGGGTGGAGGAGGAGGAGGAGGAAGAGGAGTAGGGGGAGGAGGAGGGAGAGGAACAATGATAGTACGAACCATGCTACGAAGACGAATCACAGTAAAAAGCAATTCAATAATAGAAGTCTGAATCGTCATACGAAGAATCTCATTGATACTAGGAAGAAACACGCTACGAATAGTCATATTCATGATAACAGCACGAAGGCTAATACGAACAAGAGGAATTATACTAATCATACGACTGACTAATGAGAAGAAACATCAGGCACACAATAGTAATACTAACACTAACCATAAGATTATCGAAGGTATTACGATCATTTTTCGTATCACTCGTAATACTAATATTCAATATTGACAGTAGCGATCGTATTATGGTGATGAGGAGGAGGAGGACTAATAATATTAGTCATAATATGACGAAGAATAAAAAGGATACTACTGCTAAGAAGAATCATACTAATACTGATACTAATACTAATAAGATTAAGAATAATAATACGAGTAATAATAATACCAATAACAATAAGAATAATAATAATAAGAAGACGAGAAGGAGGAGGAGGAGGAGGAGGAGGAGGAGGGGAGGAGGAGGAGGAGGAGGAGGAGGAGGAGGAGGAGGAGGAGGAGGAGGAGGAGGAGGAGGAGGAGGAGGAGAGGAGGAGGAGGAGGAGGAGGAGGAGGAGGAGGAGGAGGAGGAGGAGGAGGAGGAGGAGGAGGAGGAGGAGGAGGAGGAGGAGGAGGAGGAGGAGGAGGAGGAGGAGGAGGAGGAGGAGGAGGAGGAGGAGGAGGAGGAGGGAGGAGGAGGAGGAGGGAGGAGGAGGAGGAGGAGGAGGGAGGAGGAGGAGGGAGGAGGAGGAGGAGGAGGAGGAGGAGGAGGAGGAGGAGGAGGAGGAGGAGGAGGAGGAGGAGGAGGAGGAGGAGGAGGAGGAGGAGGAGGAGGAGGAGGAGGAGGAGGAGGAGGAGGAGGAGGAGAGGGGGGACGCACTGGGTCCTGGCGCGCACGCTCGGTGTATGCTCCAGGAGGAGTGGGGAGGGGGTCTCGAGCAAGGTCGCCACACGCGCCGGGAAGTTGTTTTTTTTGGCCGTTCCTTCGCTGTGGGTCGTGGAACCTATGCGTGGTCTAGGCTCGCCGTGGCCAGAGAAGCCCCTTCGTTCCTCATTCAGCGTTCCTGGCGCTAGCACGATGATTGTGTCGTCTCCTCCTTCTCCTCCTCCTCCTCCTCCTGATCCTCTTCCTCTCCTACTCTTCCTCCTCTTCGGGAGAGCCGGGCGAAGGCAGGGAAGAATGGCGCCCGCGAGGACGTGCGTGATGGTCGCCAGCGCGATAATTGGAGAGTGAGTATGCCAGCGCTCTATCGTGCAAGCTGTGCTCTCCCGTTCGTCGGTGCAGCCCGCGTGCTGCAGCCCTGGAGACGGGTGTCATACATACGGTCGGGAACTTCGGGATGGCGTGTCGCTCCCCCGGTTTTGGCCCACCACGCTTCGACGTGACGCTGTGTCCACGTCCCATTCCCGAGGCGTCAGCGTCCCGAGCTTTGCCCGACTTCCTACCCCGCGGGGCGGAGCGACACGTTATCCGCTTGCAAAGCACAGCGTGTCGCCGGGGCCGCCGCTGCGGCACGCTAAGCAGAAGTTCCCGACAGCAAGGGGCGCTGCAGAAATGGCCTCACCTTTGGCGCGTCTCGCCTTCGGCGGAAGCCAGCGGGCGGCCAGCGGAACTGGTGGAAGCAAAACGGCGGCGGGTCCCCCGGCGGAAGCTGGCATAAGCTCGGCGGAAGGTGACGAAAATAACAGTAATTTGTCATTTTTCGGAATCCAGGGATCAAGAGTTTCTGGAGTTGTACATATTGATGCCTTCCGAAATGATATAATTCTTTGTGACCGTTTATTCGGCCGAAAAGTCTAGGCGATGAAACTAGCCTGTCTGAGTTTACGTTGATACGTGCATGGTTGGTTCAAGGTGAAATGATATCTGTTGGGCTGCATCGTCGAGTGTACGCCAGCGGCACTGCGTACTTGAGTACACTGCGCGCTCTAATTCGGTGGCGACAACGTTTCGCCTTTTCCATGTCGACCAGACATCGACCAGTGGCCTTCGGCCCATACCGCCACCGTTCCTGTAATATGGATTATCTCTCCTATCCTCCCTTGCTTCCCTTCCAGGTACCGACGCAGGTGGAAAAGGAGGGTGAGAAGGAACAGTACGTGGAAGGGGAAAGGGAGCTGAGGAGAGGGAGACAAGGGAGGAAGAAAGGGAAGATGGGAGTGGAGGATGGTGGGTGACGGGAAGGACTAGCTGGCCATCGCAGGAGAGCGATCTGGAAGAAGCAGTATAACGGGGAGTAGGGGGAGGATGAGGATGATGATGAGGAGGAGGAGGAGGAGGAGGACCAGTGAAAACCCAAGACTCATCAACGATGTTTGAATCAACCCTCCCTCCAAGCTCCCTCTTCACAGGCCCCCACAAGGATTCATGTTCACTGAGGGAAATGCCCCATTGGAAGACCACTGTCTGAAGATCCTGAAGCGTGCTTATACATCATTCTCGGAACTTCAACGCCACGAGTCAATCTGACTGTGGCGTCTGGACGATCGTGAACCGTGCCAGAGCACCATTCCTGGGACTTCAACACCGCGAATCAACGTAACCATTGCGCCCTGATAGTCCCCACTCATTCCAAAACATCATTTTGGTACGTCAGCTATGGGAACCAGTGGAACTCTTGCAGATGTTAAAAATGGGTGTGCGCGGCGCGAAGGCGAGAGCTACATTTTGAAAAGGAGCCGCCCTCATTCCGTCAAACTCTTGCAAACTTTTGACCAGCCCATCCAGAAGCAGATCGCCAGGCGAGTTGCCTTGATCAGGGAAGTGTGGGAGAGTGCAGTGTAACAACGGCCTTGGAAGCATGTCTCTTGGGGCCATCTTGGGGCTCTCTTGGGGTCCTGGCGGAGCCTCTTGGGGCACTCTTGAGACCCTCTTGGGGCTTCTTTGTGGCCCCTCTTGGGGTCCTCTTGGGGCCCGGTGGGGGGGTCTGAGAGGCCTCTTGAGGCCATCTTGGCACCATGACTAAAAGAGGGGGGGTAGGCAATTCAGGTCCTCCACTGGAAGGCTCAACAATGGCGTCTTGAGGCCCTCTTGGGGCGCTCTTGGGGCGCTCTTTGGGCGCTCTTGGGACTGTCTTGGGGCTTTCTTGAGCCCATCTTTGGGCACTCTTTGGCCGTCTTAGGGCCATCTTGAGGCTTCAAGAGCCCATCGGAAACGAAAAGGCGAGAAGGCAAGCCACATTGATTTTCCTCAGGTTTTGGAGCCATTTTGGACTCTTGGGGGGTCCTTGGAGGGCTCGGAGGGCACTTGAAACCGTCTTGGGGTCGTCTTGAGGCCCCTTAGATGTGAGTCGGAGGCTATCTTGAATCATCGGAGGTATCTTGAAGTGAGCCATCTTGGAGGCCATCATGCGCTCTCAAAGGCCCGCTTAGGGCCATCTTCGGTCACCTTGCACGCTCTATCCACTCGTGGGGCGCCCCTTCCAGGCCCCCGAGCAGGGGAAGGAGGGAGCTTTGGCAGAGAGAAGACAACTTTCGTAGAACCACCTACGCTCAGAGGGCTGGTGGAATTTTTAAGACGAATGTGCGCGGCGCTAGGGCGAGAGCCACATTTTGAAAACGACCCGCCCTCAATTTGTGAAACTCACGCAATTTTTTCATCGAGCATGCGTGGCGCTACGGCGAGAGCCACATTTTGGAAGCGACAAGCCCTGAATCCGTGAAACCCTTGCACATTGAAAAACGAACGTACGCGGCGCTATGGCGAGAGCCACATTTACAAAAAAGCCCCGCCTTCAATCCGTGAAACTCTTGCAACATTTCAAGACGAACGTGCGCGGCGCTAAGGCGAGAGCCACGTTTTGAACTTTGAACACCGCCCGCCCTCCATCATTGAAACTGTTTCCAGTTTTTAAGCGTCAGGATAATAAGCGGTAAGAAAGTCTCAGGCGAAACTCGCGGTCCGCCCTTTCGACCAGCCCCGGGGTTATACAGGGAGGAATTATTCATAAGGAGAAGGAATGGAGCAGGAGTTGGAAGGATGGAGAGGATGAGGACGATGTTGAGGAGGATGATGAGGAGGAGGCGAATGGTGAGGAGGGACGAGGAGGAAAAGGAGGAATGTGATGAGGGCCTCGCATTCCCAGCAGTCGTCCCAGCCCTTCGGTACCGCAGCAGTCAGGAATCCGATCGAGAGCCCCGCGCCTCGCGCCGGTGAGCAACGCCGCGCTGGTGCAGTGCGGCGTCGCCAGCTGCACCGCGTGCGAGAGCTCTCGGGGCCACTTGGAAGCCTCGCACGGCGCCTCTCGGAGGCATCCCCGGGGGCTTTGGGGGGCCTCCCAGGGGCTTCTTGGTCGGAGAGAAGGGCGGAGTCCCCCCACTCTGTCTCTTCCCGGAGTCCGTTGGCGGCCTCCCTCTCTCGGGGCTCCTTCCGGCCCCCTCCTTGGGTGCGCTCGGGCCCCCCAGGCCCCCAAGGTCCTCTCGGGGTCACCTGGAGGGCTCCGGGGCCAAGGCGAGAGCGACACATGCTGAACAACGTTGTGTGTGTGTGTGTATCGCCAATGATTTTGCCTCTCGGGGGGCCCCCTTGGGCTGCCACGCGGGGTAACTCTGGGCAGGTTTGGAGGCAAGCCTGAGCTTGAACTGAGTGCTCGCATATTGGATCCGCCTTGTCCAATGTTGGAGGTCGGTGAATCCAAGTGCGTCCGGGGTTTCGGAGACAGCCAATGGACCAATTTCGACTAAAATACGTAAGCATTAATCCTTTGCTCCAGCAGCCGTCGGACAGGAAATTTTTGGAGGGCCAGCTTCGACATCAGGTCACTCCACATCCTGCCTGTGGGCACAGTCTCTGTTCTATCTATTACGGTCGTGCATGGGCGAGTTACTGCACTGCACGATCAGACGTCTTGTGTATGTGCCGGCTTCGGTGCATCGCCAACATTGGCTCACTAGCGGCTGGTGTATACATCGCCAGCCGTTCGAATGAGTGCTGTTGATGTCTGATTCTTGTCACCGCCGTCGTGCTTACCATTTCGTCTGTCGGGTGCTTCGGCCAAGCTGGCAACTGACCATGAGGCGATGAATTGCACCTGGTCTCGGCAGCGCAGTACTCGACGTTGGAAGGCTTTCTCCGTCACTGCGCAGCCCAGTCTCAGCATAGCTGAGCCGACTGCTGGTCGATGAGAGTGCGACTGGCTGCTATACCCAAAATGTAGCAAGAAGATATCACTGTGCATGTATTTTGCTTGAAACACCGAATTCGCGCAGAGGCAGCATAGCGCAGTTGGTATCAGAGCACGCAGTAGCAGCAGATCGCATGCCCAAGCGACCATATGCTTGTAGAGCACACATGGCAATCATCGGACGGTAGAGCCAAATTCACGTGACATGGCATGTTGGTAGAGCATTCAGCTCGCGCGCGTCACAGAAGTGATGCACTTGTAATGACACTGTCAGGGCAGAGTTGCACGTTCAAATAACCGGATTCGTGTATCGCCATGCAATTGTGATTTTATGATTGTGGCAGTGCGTCGGCCTTGTTCGCTGCCCTGAGCCTCGGCGTCTGCTTGTGAGGCCAGCGGCATGTCCAAGCTTGACGGCCCCTACCGTCGCTTCCGAAGCTTCAGCAGGGGCAGGCCACCCGAGAGTTTTGACATGATCTGTTAGTCGTGGGTCTCGTCCGCACGCAAGCTTCACTGTCAGAGCCACTTTTCGATACGCTCGCCCACTCCTCCTTTCACATCAGTCTTCTTCGCCTGTGCAGGTAGTGGAAAGGTTGTCCAGAGACAGCCCGTATCGTTGCAGGCATGGTGCAAGCATCCGTCGGGGAGGCCTTGCTATGTCAAGAAGAGCAAGCACCTCGTGTACCTCTATTGGCAGGGTGGCCAGTGGCGTATTGGCAGAGAATTCGGTGCGCAGCTGGGGGGCAGACCGGGAAGAGCCAGTGCGCTCCAGTGTTTCTATTTTCAGTGCGGAGAAATGTAAGACTCGAGTAGGCTGGAACTCGGCTTTGCCGACGCTTTTTGACGAGCGCGTTCTGGATCTTGACGGCCCAGTATTCGTGGGATGTATGCAGCGGGAGTTCGCGTCAGATTTCAGATCGGGTCTCGTCATTTTCATGATGGCCCCGTCAGGCCAACCCGAGTTCCCCGTACCCGAGTCTTACGTCTCCTCGATTCTGACCGCGGGTTTTTCTTTTCCGCCTCTCTCCTCTGCCCGGCCCCTTTGCTGCCGCAGTTCGTTTCCGGAGCGCGCCTCCCGATGCTTGACCGGTACCTGCCTCGCTGGTGCCCGCCGACCTAAAAACATTCACGCTTCGCGGATCCCCATCAGGTCATTCGGAAACCCTGCCTGTGAGACTTGACGAGGAAAGGGATGAATAGACACATGTAGTAAGGCAAAGCGACCAGCCAGGGTGAACAGAGAGATCTCTGGGAGCAAGGGTGTGGCCTTGGAGGGCCTCTTCGAGTCATCCCTGGGGCCCGCGTGGGGGCGAGGGACGGAGGAGGAGGAGGAGGAGAAGGAGGAGGAGGAGGAGGAGGAGGAAGAGGAGGAGGAGGAGGAGGGGGAGGAGGAGGAGGAAGAGGAGGAAAGCGACAACGACAACGACGACCACGACCACGCCGACGAGGGAAAGGAGCAACAGGAAAAGGAAGACGATCAGGGCAAGCACGAGGACGAGGACGAGGACGAGGATGATAAGGAGGAGGAGGAGGAGGAGGAGGAAAAGGAGGATGAGGAGGAAGAGGAGGAGGAGGAGGCAGAGGAGGAGGAGGAGGAGGAGGAGGAGGAGGAGGAGGAGAGGAAGATGATAAGGAGGATGAGGAAGATAATTATTATGGTGATGATGCTGATGATGCTGCTGACGATGATGAGCATGAGGATGTGATGAGGATGATGATGAAGATGAGGATGATGATGCTGCTGATGATGATGAGCATGATGATATGATGATGCTGATGATGCTGATGATGCTGATGATGCTGCTGATGATGATGCTGATGCTGCTGATGATGGTGATGAGGATGACGATGACGATGATGCTGCTGCTCATGATGATGCTGATGATGCTGATGATGATGATGCTGCTGATGCAGCTGCTGCTGCTGCTGATGATGATGATGATGATCATGATGATGATAATGATGATGATGATGATGATGATGATGATGATGATGATGATGATGATAATGATGCTGATGATGCTGCTGCTGCTGCTGCTGATGATGATGATGATGATGATGATGATGATATTGATGATGAGAAGGAGGAGGAGGAGAAGGAGGAGGAGAAGGAGGAGGAGGAGGAGGAGAATGAGGATGAGGAGGACAACGAAGACGAGGACAGAGCCCTGAAACTCGCCTCTTGGAACCCTCTTGGAGCCCTCTTGGGGCTTTTAGGGGGGATCTTGGGGTCTTCTTGGGGCTCTTTTGGGGGTCTTTGGGCCCTCTTGGGGACCTCTTGGAATCCCTTTGGGGGGCCCTTTGGAGCCCCGGAAGGCCTCTTGGGGCCATCTTTGAGGCCATCGATCCAACGGGGGGTGTCCCCGATTTCGGTCCCCCCCGAGTCTAACAAAATAGCCACTTGGGCTCTTTTAGAGAGCCCTCTTGGGGCGCTCTTGGGCGCTTTGGGGGACATCTGGGAGGCCTCTTGGGCCCCTCTTGGGCCTCTCTTGGGCCTCTCTTTGTCCATTTTTGGGACATCTTGAGGCCTCAAGAGTGCATCTGAAGCGAAAAGGCGAGAAGTCACACGTCATTGATGTTCCTTAAGTTTTAAAGGATGTTGGCCTCGTGTGGGGGTCATGAGGGGGCTCCGAGTGCACTTGGAACGATCTTGTGGCCCTCGTCGGGCATTTCGGAGGTATGACGGAAGCTATCTTGAACCGTCGTCAGCCCTCTTGAGCCATCTTGGAGACCATCTTGGAGCATCGGAGGCCCTCTTCGGAGCCATCTTGGGCCATCTTGGACGCTCTAACGCGTCGCGACCCCCCTCGGAGAACCTCAGGGAGGGGGGTAAACTTCCAGGAAGGGAGGAGGTTTTTGGAAGAGGAAAGACAGAACTCGTTATACCGCCTTAGCCCAACGTGCTGGTGGGATTCTATTCTCAGAGCGTCCAGCCTGGGATTTTTTCTGTTGTTGTTGGCCCAATCAGGGCCAGGCTTTGGCGCAGCGCCTGTGCCCAGTACCCGCAACCGAGCACGCATGTGCGACCGCTTACAGCGCAGAAGGAGATCGGGCGGGTTTCGGAGGCCACCGGGCAAGGGGGCATGGTGCCACAGGGCGCGAGGCACGGGGCAACCGGATCGGTATTCGTCGCCTCGGGGGATGGCTCTCGAGCATTTTCGTTGCACATGGACATGGTAGGTCGCTGAGCACGTGGCATTCGCCCTGCATCGTGATGCTTGCAAGTGCTTCGACGCAGATTGCCAGCGACGCCAGCCATTGCAGCCGTCTGCTTGCAGCGACTCTAGGCCTTCTGGCTGTTCTCTCGGGAGCAAGTTCTTGCACGTGGACGCAGCTGCCTTAATCTACCCGAAGGTACCTCGGGATTCCTGGTAAGCAAAGAGTGGCGAACTGGAGCATAATCTCGTGAAGTAATGAGGCAACTTCTGGTCTGTACTTTGACTGAGTTTGCCTTCGTCCACTTGGCAACTACTCCGAAGTACTTTCAGATGATGGCGTTGCCAGGATGACGAGCCTGACGGGAAGAGGATCGATGAAGCAGCGGACAAACATAATCATACAAAGTGGTCACGGGTTTCCGACATACACGCAACGTGCAGCTGGTGTCGCACATTCGACTCATATCATATTGCGTTAATGTCGCAGTTTTGTACGCACGTTTCTTATTGTGCACACGTGTCACGCTATGAATGTACTTGTCTGCCGGCGCTCACCTGGTGCTGTTGGGGCCATGAGGCGTTTTTTTGAAAGGGCGTCTTGTGAAGCGTCGGCTTCTGTTCTATGGCACAGCAGCTGGGCAACCAGTGGAGGAGGTGGAGCATCAGGGGCGTGGCAGGAAGCAAGGACTCTATGGCAAGGGTCAAGGACTTTCAGGACACCCGTCGCGCTGCTGTTGGCTTGCTTTGGACCACAATCGTCGCTAATCTTGGGTAAGCATGGTTTGAACATGGTTCTGCTTCGTACTTTATTTTTATGTACCTACCGTTGCTTCACGTTGCTGTCCGTTGTGCTGCTCTGCATCGTTTTTTGATGTTGTTTGTCTCGGCTGCCCCTGTTGCACTATTTATCTTTCCATGTTCCGCTTTGAGTGTGGTTGTTCCGCTATGCTTTGCTGCGTTTTTACCGTTCCATCAACCAACCAGACAACCCACTGCGAAACCAGGCCCGCCCCCCTGGGAGTCTGGTGATCCTCACTGTCATCGAGCTACTCGCCAAGAAAAACGATTAGCCCACCAGTCAACGAGCAACCCGCCAGGAACGCAGGCAACCCACAATTGCCATTATTTGTTAGGAAGCCACCTACGCATCACAGCCTAAATGCAAAAGGGGAGCTTGCTGCATAACTGGGCAATCAGTGAGTAGTCTCTAGGTCAGATTCCGATCTCACGATTACTGGCTCAAGCTAAGTATCCTTCAGGCAGGCGCCGCAGGAGAGGTCCCCTATACTGTGTTGCAGCGCTGAAGCGGAGTTCTCAAGGCGACTTTGAACACGAGGCGGTCTCTCGTCTTCGCTTTCGGCCTAGCTTGAGGCAGCATCGGCATGACTTTCATGCTTTTCCGACCGCCGGAAAATCCGTGACAGTCACATGCACGACGAGCAGCATCGTTGCCTGCCCCGCAGGGAGGAGGAGGAGGAGGAGGAGGAGGAGGAGGAGGAGGAGGAGGAGGAGGAGGAGGAGGAGGAGGAGGAGGAGGAGGAGGAGGAGAAGGAGGGAGGAGGAGGAGGAGGAGGAGGAGGAGGAGGAGGAGGAGGGGAGGATGATGGGAGGATGGGAGGAGGGGGAGGAGGATGGGGAGGAGGAGGATGGTGAGAGGAGGAGGAGGAGGAGGAGGAGGAGGAGGAGGAGGAGGAGGAGGAGGAGGAGGAGGAGGAGGAGGAGGAGGAGAGGAGGAGGAGGAGGAGGAGTGAGGAGGAGGAGGAGGAGGAGGAGGAGGAGGAGGAGGAGGAGAGGAGGAGAGAGGAGGAGGTGGAGGAGGAGGAGGAGGAGGAGGAGGAGGAGGAGGAGATGAGGAGGAGGAGGAGGATGAGGAGGAGGAGGAGGAGGAGGAGGAGGAGAGGAGGAGGGGGAGGAAGATGGGGAGGATGGGGAGAGGAGGAGGAGGAGCAGGAGGAGGAGGAGGAGGAGGAGGAGGAGGAGGAGGAGGAGGGAGGAGGAGGAGGAGTTGGAGGGAGGAGGAGGAGGAGGAGGGGAGGAGGAGGAGGAGGAGTAGCGAACAGGTTGTGGTGGTTGCAAGGCTGGTGCTGGCTGCAGGGTGGCCAGGGGCGCTCTCGGACGGGGACACTCTGCTCCTGGGAGGCCGCCCCTCTTCTTCTTCTTCTTCTTCTCCTCCTCCTCCTCGTCTTCTTCCTCCTCCTCGTCCTCCTCTTCGAAGCTCGATCCTCTTCCTCGTCCTCCTCCTTCTCCTCCTCCTCCTCCTCCTCTTCCTCCTCCTCCTCCTACTCTTACTCCTACTCCTACTTCTCCTACTCCTCCCTCCTCCTCCTCCTCCTCCTCCTCCTCCTCCTCCTCCTCCCCCTCTTTCCTTCTCCTTCTTCTTCTCCTCCTCCTCCTCCTTCTCCTCCTCCTCCTCCTCCTACACCTTAGCTGCAGCGAGTGTCATGGGAGGCGTTGCCACCGCCGCCACCGACCATATCGTCTGGTCAGGTAGCGTTCCAGCTTCAGCCTGGGCGCCCTTGAGTGCGACCAGAAAGGTCACATCGTTTTGGCCAATCCTTGCACGAGGTGTCGGGCGCAGCTGCAAGTGCTCGACGATCGTATTGGGATCGGAAGCCAATCTACCGTGTCCGCTTGTCGTGACATCCGGGAAGACATGTTCGAGGGCTGATGTTATGCAAGCCCGGCCATTCGTTCAGCGGTTTTGCAGGTTCTTGTGTCGTCTTTGCACGAGCTCCCGTAGGTTGCGGGTGCAGTGAAAACCCGCTGTTGGTTCGGTTGCCCGTCGTCGGTCTGCGTGAAACCTTGCACTTAGTAATTATTCAAGTGGCTTGCGCCATTCTGCCGATCCCCAGTGGAGTGGAGACGTCCAGGGCATTCGGTAGGCTATGTTGGAGCTGGAGTGGCTGGGTGCTTTTTGTCACGCCCGCGAGGGTGGAGAAGGTGGAGGAGACGGAAGAGGAGGAGGAAAATGAGGATGAGCAGGAGCAGGAGCAGGAGCAGGAGGAGGAGGAGGAGGAGGAGGAGGAGGAGGAGGAGGAGGAGGAGGAGGAGCAGAGGTGGGAAGGAGGAGGGCGGATGGAGGAAGGACGGAATTTAGGTGTGCAAGGGGGGCTGCTGGGATTTGTCACGGGGCTACTTGATGGATTCTGGGAGGCCTTTTGTCGGCTCCTGGTGGGCTCGTGGGGCTGGCTGGGAACTGTGTGGAAGAGCCTCTAGGATGGACATGAGGGTCTCTTGGAATGTCTCTCAGGGGCCTCTTAGAGGGCATCTTGTTGGCTTTTTGGAGCCTCTTGGGGCCTCGTGAAGGCCTCTTGGGGGCCTCTTGTGGGCGCCTCAGGGGTCTCTGGGGGGCCTCCGGGGCCATGACGGGGGCAAATGCTCGAGATGTCGGTTCGTATTGATCCTCTTGGGCTTTGCTCGGGGCCCGCGTGGGCCGTCTTAGAGGCCCCTGGGGCCGGCCTGGGGCGCTCTTGGGCCGTCTTGGGGCTGTATTAGGCCGTCTTGGGGCCTCTTGGGGGCGACTCATGGGCCGTCTTTGTCACGACATTGGGGACCCTTTGGGTTGTCATGGGCGCTGTCAAGACGAAAAAGGTAGATATGTCGAATCTCTAGGGGTCCACACGCGAACCCTACCCCTACCCCCCACGATTTCTGAGGGGGAGGGTGGGGTTCACTTCGCTCGGGAGCTCCCGAACGAAGTGAACCCCACCCTGCCCCTCAGAAATCGTGGGGGGTAGGGGTAGGGTTCGCATGTGGACCCCTAATCTCTGCAGTTTTCTTAGGGCACTGGGCGAATTCTGCGTTTTGTGGCCCTCTCGGCAGTCCTCTGGGAGCACCTCCGGGCAGTCCTGGGGGCCTCGTGGGCTGTCTTTGACGCCATCTTGGGCCGTCGCGGGGCTGCCCTGGGCCGTCTCAACGCTCTCTTGGACTGTCTCGGCGCTCTGCTTGGGCTCTCTTGGGCTGTTTTGGGGCTCCTGGTCTGCGAAAAACTTTGCTTTTAGTTGTTTTCTGCATCGGGGCATCGCGTGACGAAGCCATGGTGTCGTTTCAGGGCACATTGTGGTTGCGACGCCAGAGATGGTACCCAGATCAGAGTGCGGTGGGTCTCAAGTGAAGGCATCTTGGATTTTCTTGTCCTGGGGTTAGCGTCAGCTCCTATTTCCACTTGTATCGTCTTCTCTTTTGGAGATTCTCGGTGCGGTGCAGAACCGATCAGTGTGGCTTCAACCGCATTTAGTCGACTGGTCGATTGAGGACTTCCTATCTGATCGATATCCTCATCCTCAGATGCGACTTGGTAAAGTGCTGCCAACTGTCCTAGCAACGAGTACATTTATGGATCCTCCTAGCGGGTTTGTGCCTCTGGTAGCAGAAGTTATCAGAACTACGCCACGTGCGGTTTGTTCCTCTTCGCTTACGCCTTTGCCAGAAGTAAGGCCCCTCCTCTGTTGTCGCTTGCATTGATACGACAGCAGCAGCAGGTAGGGGACCAGCCCTGCGCTCAAGGAGTCGAAGACTGAGACTCCCTGTCTACCCTACGAGCCGTACCCGTCCACGTGGAAGGCCGCCCCCTCACATCACGTGGCGCCGATGGCTTCGCAGAGGCGGGAGTATATTGTCGGATCATTCATGTTTTTTGTTGCTTCGCGTGACACCACCAGCCCATCCAGAACCGAGGCGAATCGGGAAGTGGCCATCCTGGAGGCCTCTTGGGCGATATTGGGGCGATCTTTGGGGGCTCTTCGGCCGTCTCGGGCCGTCGGTAGGCCGGAAAGAAGCAAATGCCAAACAATTTCGAAAACCTACGACACATCAATGATCTTGGCCTCTTCGGGCCTTCCTCTGGAGGCCTTCTTGGAGGCCTCTTGGGCCGCCCCCTCTGTCAAGCACCAGCGCGAGGCGATCGCAGGGCGCCCGCGCATGAACTAGCTTCTGCCACACAGTGTGCCTTGCATGGTGCGTTGACAGCCATGGTGCGCCTGCGCAGAGCGGGCATCTTGAGGGCTTTGCCGCCGCCCCCGGCGAGCATCACATGCGAAGTGATCAGGGGGCGCCCGCGCACGGTCCAGACTCTGCCGCCCAGTGTATTCCGACTTGTGCTCTGACAGGGGCGGGAGGCCTGCGCAGAGCGGACACCAGGAGGGCGTTTCCACCATCCCTGTTCGCGTGTCCAGTCGAAGGGCCCAACCATGTGCAGCTGCGAGTATCGCGTGCAGGTGAGGGCCTTCGGCCGCCGGGGCCTTCGGTGGAACTCTCTATGGGGCTGCGAAACTTTTGAGGGCTGTGTCGAATTGGGTGCGGGTGCACCACGCGGACGTTGCCGCTGGGGCCTTCGGTGGAGCTCCTTATTGGGGCACAAGGCGCGTGATGGGTTGTGCCGACTTGGGTGCGGGTGCGCCCTGTTGACGCTGCCGCTGGGGCCTTCGGCGGAATTCCCTATGGGTCCACGAGGCGTGTGAGGGGTCGGGGCCTTCGGCGGAGCTCCCTGTGTGGCCACGAAGCGTGCGAGGGGTGTGCCAACCTGGGTGCGGGTACGCCATGCGGACGCTGCCGCTGGGGCCTTCTGTGGATCTCTCTGCGGGGCCACGAAACGTGTGAGGAGTGCCGAATTGGGTGCGGTGGCGCCATGCGGACGTTGCCGCAGAGGCCTTCGGTGGAACTCCCTATGAGGCCACGAAGCGTGTGAGGGGTGTGCCGAAATTGTTGACGTGCGGAGGGCAGGGGCAGGGATGGGAGGATGGAAGGGAGGGGCGGGAGGTGAGGTGAGTGACGCGGGGCGCTGTCTAGTCAACGCGAGGACCCGACCCCGCAGGCCTCCGGACCCAGCGCCATGCGGACGGGTGCGCAGGGGCCTTCGGTGGAGCTTCTTATGGGCCCACATATGGTGAAGAGGGGTGTGCCGAGTTGGGAGCGGGTACGCTATGCGGATGCTGCCGCTGGGGCCTTCGGCGGAGCTCCCTGGTGGGCCACGAAGCGTGTGAAGGATGTGCCGACTTGGGTGCGGGTGCGCCATGCGGACGCTGCCACTGGTGCCTTCGGTGGAGCTCCCTATGGGGCCACGCAACGTGTGAGGGGTGCACCGAATGGGTGCACCGGCGCCGCTGGGACTTCCGGTCGAATTCCCCATGGGGCCACGCAAGGTGTGAGGGGTATACCGACATGACTGACACGCGGAGGGCAGAGGCAGGGATGAGAGGAGGGAGGGGAGGGGCGGGAGGCAAGCTAGGTGCGCTCGCGTCATATCTGACGTCCTACCCCTCCCTCCCATCCCTTACCATGGCGCTGATTTTCTCTATCCGCGGACGCGTGTCGTAGCGGACCTGTGGCTCCGCGCGCGCGTGCGTAGTGGGTGGTGGTGCGCGTGCGTGCGTGCGTGCGTGCGTGCGTGTGCGTGGTTGGTGGTGGTGGTGGTGGTGGTGGTGGTGTGGTGGTGGTGGTGCTGGTGGTGGTGGTGGTGGTGGTGGTGGTGGTGGTGGTGGTGGTGGTGGTGGTGGTGGTGGTGGTGGTGCGGCGCGGTGGTGGCGGGCGGATGGGCGCGCGAGAAAGAGGCCCGCGCTGGGGCGAGAACGCCATCCTGAACGACGGAGGCCAAACACCGATCCGAAAATGAGGCCCACGCTGCAGCGGGAGCACGATTCGGAACGATTCGGGAGCAGAAATGAGGCCGGCGCCTCAGCGAGAGCAGCACTTTGAAAAAAACACAAGCGAAAACCCGTTTCCCGGGAATCCTGTGTGTAAAAAACAATACGCGGGGGAGTGTCGGATATCTTCGGGACGCCATCAGGGGAAGTGGGAGAGTATTTTCATATGGTGTAATTGTTGAGTTGAGTAACGCGGGGCGCTGTCTCTTTAAAACGTAGACCCAACACACAGGCTGGCAGTTGGGAAAACCCGCTGCGCGGTGCCCCCAGGGCGCTCGCGTGCGGTGCAGATTTTTGCCCTCATTGTTCATGTCGCAGTGCGTTTTGACAGGGTATGGCGTGGGGGAGGCCCAGATGGTCCCCGGCATGTCGCCGGTCGGGCAGGAGCAGTTACCAAGACACCCCTCTCAGATTCAAGCCGTACGGCTCACTCCCGTCCGCCCTCCCAGCACAAAAGTAGTATCCCAGTCTTAGCTCATTTAGCGGTCGTCTTTGGATATGAACAGCCAATGGGAACCAGTGCAGGTCCCAGGTGCGCGACGGCGGGGCGAGCTGCGCCGCGCGTGCCAGGCGCGCCACGCGCACTAGGCGCGCCAGGCGCCCCTGGGGCCGAACCGTGCCGGGCACGCCTGGTGCGCCAGATGCGCCATGTGCTCCACGTCCAGCCAGGCGCGCCACGTTCGGGGCACGCGCATTGTGTGCCAGGTGCGCTCGCGCACATCGGGCAACATATCGGCCTCCACCACTTTTGTCGAAAACCTATAAAGTATCGCAGCGGAGTGGCCATCGTGATGATGACTGGTAGGCTTGCACACAGCAGGCAATCTGCCAGCACTTTTGCCGTCCCTTGCAAAACGCAAGGCGAAGAGATCGCGAGTTGCTTGCGCATGATCCAGATTTAGACGCCAAGTGGCATTTGCATTGTTTTTGATCGGGGAGGTGGCCTTGCGCACTGCAGGCCATGCTGGCACTCTGGCCGTCCCCGTCAAAAAGCACAATGTAAGGTGCTCCCCGGGCCCCCCTGAGTATGACCCAAGACTTTGCCGCAACGTGCACTCTGCATGGCTTGTTGACAGGGATGACGGGGGGCGAGCACACATGGTCACAGGTTTGTCGCAGGTCGGGTGGGGTAAGGAGCAGTGATCAAGCTACCACCCGCCTTCTTATTACATAGGTAGCACCCGAGTCTCAGCAAAGGCAGCGGCCGCCATCGACAGCCATCGGGAAGTCAATGTGTGCGCTGGCCGTGCGCGCGGAGCCCGCGAGGTGCGCCGCACCTGCCAGGCGCGCCGCGCACCAGGTGCGCCACATTGGGCACTATGTCGACTGCCCCGCAATCCCTACCAACAACCAAAACAATGACCGTGGGTTTGCGAGCATTGTTGTTGTGCTTTGGTGTGCTCCGCAATCATGCATTGGTTTTTGATAGGGGCAGTAGGCCTGCACACAGCAGGCAGCATGTCGCCTCACCCGCCGTCCCTGGCAAAGTGTTTTTTCCTCTGTTGAAAGGGATGGTGTCTGCACGCAGCAAATAATATGCTGTCCACCCGGCGTCCTTGTCAAATGCCAGTGCCAAGTGACCGCGGGGCGTCCGCGCACGATCCCGATTTTGGTGCAGAGTACACTTTGCATTTTCTTTGCAAGGGATGGTTGGGGGGTGTCGGCATGTCACGCGGCAGACAAAACGCGGGCATCCCCGCCGTCCCTGCCAAAAAACGAACTCGAACTGATCGTGGGGCGTCGGCACATGATCCACGTTCTGGTGCAGAGTGCTCTTTGGTTTGTTTTTTGCAATGGGTGGTGGAGTGTGTTGGCGTTGCACACACAAGGTTGATTGTGTGCTGGCACGCCCACCGTCCCTGTCAAAAGCCAATGCAAAGTGATCGCGTGGCGTTCGCGCGTTATCCAGATTTTGGCACAAAGTTTACTTTGTATTGTTTTTTTGGTGACAGGGACGGTGGGGGGTCGGCATGGTCCCAGGCCTGTCGCCGGTCGTGTGGAGGCGGGGGTGCATATCAAGAGGGAGCAGTTATCTAGACACCTGCCTCAGACTCAAACTGTGCGGCTCGCTTCCGCCCGCCCTCCCAGCACATAAGCAGTACCCGAGCCTCGGCATATTCAGCGGTCGTCTTCGGATGGGCAGCTACGATAAACCAACACAGATGCCAGAGGCGCGACGTTGGGGCGAGGCGAGCCGCGTCGGCCCCCTGGTGCGCCGCGTCGGCTCACGCCATCCTCGTCACAAAGCCATGCGCCATCGCGGCGGAGTGGCCATCATGATGTCTGATGGGCCTGCGCACAGCAGGCAATGCTCCGGCTCCCGTGCCGTCCTGGTCGAAAACCGATGCAAAGTCACCACGGGGTGCCCGCGAATGAGCCAGATTCAGCCGCGGAGTGCAGTTTGTATGGTCCTTGACAAGGGTGATGGCACTGCGCACAGCAGGCCATATGCTGGTCCCCCCGCCGTCCCTATCGACAGAACAATACACAGTGCACGCGGCCCCCCCGAACATGACCCAAGATTTTGCCGCAAAGTGCAGTTTGCATGGTTTTTCGATGGGGATGGCGGGTGGGGCGTCATTGGCCTTTGTGTGTCGCCGGTCGGGTGGGAAGGGAGACTGTATTGATCGAGAAACCCCTCCCCGGAGGGGACGAAGGGGATTGGAAGAGGAAAGGCTTGGAACCAATCACCCGAAAGGGCCTGTGGGATTTCCGTGTTTGCCTGGCCCGCCCGTGGGGAAGGATATTGTCGTCATGGCAACCAGCTGTTGCCTTCAGCACCAGAGGCCACTTTCGTGTCCTGAAGTCGCGCAGTGACTGAAAGATCCCACATTAGAAGCACCAGGCATCTAAGTAATGAGATACACGCATATACACATGTGTGTATGTTTGTTTCAAATCATGTTCACGCATCCATCAGCATACACATATACATATGTTCGCGCTCTTCTGTGCCCTCACACACATGCATGCACACATTCATGAAAATATACCCGGGTGAGGGAACCGGCGGAAGTGGCACCTAACCGTGTCAGGCTGGCCTTGGTCCTGTCTGACCAGAGCGCGTGTTATGCATTGAGGCCAGGAAGGTGCTCGATTCCTTGTAGTAATCGTGTGGTCTAATAACCTCGTTCCAACATCTCCCAACATAGGCTCGAAGATGAGTGCAGAGGACCACGTATAATTGTTAGTACCAGGGCATCGGTGAGTGAGCTGTCCGATGTGTTTAGGCCCCGAAGTAGTTTGCCCCATAAGTTTACGGAGGAGGATATAAGCCCAATCCGTCCAGTTCTGTTTAGTTTTCATGTTCCTGTCCACGAATGCTCGCGCCTTCCCTTGCCGCGGTTCCACACTTGGCAGCAAACGCTGGTCAGCGTGGGAAGACTGGGGTGGATGGAAGGAAATGAGAGTCAGGCGCGGGGTGAGGGAATGAGCTTTGGGTTAAGTTTCAAGGGTGCCTGCAAGAGAAGCGGCCGTGATTTCGTTCCGGGACGTATGTAGTATGGTGCAGGTCGTACCGTTCAGAAATGCATCAGGTGTCGCGCGTGGTGTCGCCTTCGATAGTGGGGAGATTGTTGTGCCAGCGCGCGAGTATTTGATATCAACAAAACGCCCGCATATTAGTATTTCGAGACAGGAGGCGGTGACACCCTTCACGAATTATTCGCAAGTGTCACGCCCAGACGTCCCCAGCGTACCATTATTTGGTGTGAGAAGTGCCGCAAGCTTTCTTCTTCAAGGGAGGTTGAAGCCCGCCGTAGGTGGCACTTCTGGGAGGGAATGTCGAACGCTTTCGTAATTCCAATTGGTGGCGCGAGTTTCTCGCACGCCCCAGCTCGTGCGAGCATGGGATGCTGTAGTGCATTTGACATAGAACCAAGCTTCTTCCTCGAACCGCCTCGGCGCCCACCGTATGCTCACCCTGCTCCATTCGGCTTCTTCCAGGCCCTCCCAGCCTGGATCCCTCTGCCCCCCCTCCCTGGCAAGACGGCGACAGACATGTGACCCGAAACGAGCCGTGCGCCCGCACATGGCGAGCTGTCGCGTGAGCGGAGCCCTGGTGCGAGTGCGCGCGGCAACTTCGACCAGCCATTCGGCTTCCTCAGTGGGGGGTGAGGATTGGGGTCAAGTCGGGCCTCTCCCTCTACAGAAGGAATGTTCAAGAATAGTAGAACAATTAGTCCGGGGACGATTTTTAGATTCCCGATTTTTTTGACAGTTTTATAGTTTTCGTCCAAAATCCGCCTGTAGGAGGACATGCCCGACCTAAGATTAGGGGTGGGTGGGCATCATGGCCGGGGCCATGATGTCTTCGATTTCATGGCACCCTCCTCGTACTTCCAGACGTCCCGTTGGCCCCCCCCTGGGATGCGCGCGAGCCGCAGGCCACGATGGGCGAGCCCCCCTCCTGGACGTCCTCCCTCCCCGCGTTGGAGGCCGCCGAGCAGTTTGGGCGGCCACCTCCGGCGGGCCCTCACGCGGCCTCTGGCAGCGCGGGCGTCTGCAGCCGCAGTGGGCCCGCACGGCGGGGCCGACGGCCCCGCCGCGGCCCCCCCCCGCCTCCCCAGGTGTGGCAGAGGGCCGACGCCGATGGCTCAGGCGCTCGGCCGCGGCGCAGCGGGGAGGCAGGCGCTTCTTTCTCGGCGGAGCTGCCACTCCTGAAGTGCAAGCCATGGCTGATCCGCCCTGCCTGGTGCACACGGTTGCTTTTTCGATGGGAGTGCGCCCCCTGGGGCGCATACCCTGTTTTTGCGTCTGGGGAGGTCTTCCTGCTCAAACTGTGCACCTGACCCCCCGGCAACGACAGCAGCGGCTCCCGCATGAGGCTTCCTTGCAATCCTTTTAAGAATCGCGCCCGCGCCCGAGACTTCTTCGCAATTCGAGACACTTCGCGTAACCCCACCAGCCCATCCAGAGACGATGCCCAGAGGATTTGCCTCGATCAGGGAAGTGGGCAGCACGCAGACGAAGGGTCCCTCTTGGAGCGCTCTTGGGACACTCTAGGGCGCTCTTGGGGCCGTCTTGGGGCTCTCTTGGGCCTCTCTTGCGTCTTGGCGGCCTCTTGGCGGTCCCGGGGGCCTCTTGGAGCGAGCCTCTTGGGGCCTCTTGGTGGTCTCTTGGGAGCCTCTTGGAGGCCTTTTGGGGGCCTCTTGGGGCCTCCTGGGCGCCTCTTGGCGCCCTCTTGTGGCGCTCTTGGGAGCCTCGGGAGCGCTCGTGGGGCCTCCTTGGAGGACATCGTCCAAACAAGAGGGGAGCATTAATTAGCGTTGCCCCTCGGGTGCCCCAAAACTCGCTCTTGGGGCGCTCTTAGAGCGCTCTTGGGGCTGTCTTGGGGCCCCCCCGTCCAGGCCCCGGGGGGAGGGGGTTGGTGGAGGGGTCAAGATACCCCAAGCCGCAAGCTATCCACCTGCCCTCCCAACACGTAGGCAGGATCGGAGCCTGGGGCTCCGATCTCACTGAGCTCATGAGATCTCCATGCCGATGGCAGGGATTTTCTGGCTTTCGAAGACGGGCCAGGAGGCCCCCCAAAACCCCCACGGTGGTCCAACAGGGATCCGACAGAGATCTGGATCACCGAAAACCGCTCCAAGACGCACAAGGTGGCCCCAAGACGCGCCAAGAAACCGACCAGGACGCATCCAAAAGCCCTCCAATGAGCGGCCCGACAGGCCAGCATTATTGTTTTTTTTTTTTTTTTTTTTTTTACTTTCTCGCGTTTTCGGGCTTCAGACGAACTAAAACGGACCAAGAGGTCCCCCAAACCCCCCAAAGTCGGCCCAAGAGGACCCCCAGAGAGCCCCAAGACGGCCCAAAAGGGCTCCAAGACGGCCCAAGAGGGCTTCAAGATAGCCCAGGAGAGCCCCAAGATGGCCCCAAGAGAGGCTCAAGATGGGGCACGCGAACCGACAATTCGAGTTTTCCGCCCCAGGAGGCCCCAAGAGGCCCCCAGGGGGCCCGAAAAGGCCCTCAAGACGCCCCAGAAGGGCTTCAAAACGGCTCCCAAAGGCTTCAACATTGCCTCCAAAGCGCCCCGAGGAGACCTCAAAACGGCATCCGAAACCGGGTCGCCAGACATGGCGCTTCCAGACCGCGAAAACGACCAATGCCAGCCCGAGACTACCCCAGAATCAGTCCCTGACTGTTCAATTCAAGAGGCCTCCAAGAGGCCCCAAGAGGCCTCCAAGATGCCTCCCAATGAGCCCCAGAGGGCAAAAATCATTGATTTTACGTAGGCTTCAAAGGATTTCCGCGTTCTCGCTTTTTCAGTTTCCCAACGCTCCACGACGGTCCAAGAGGCCGATGTCCGCTCCAAGACTGCCCCAGAGGCCTCGAAGACGGCCCCAAGACGGTTCAAGAGGACGCGGCCCACTTTTCTCAAATTCCCCCCGTCGCAACCCACTTGGCCCCCCCTGGGCTCCGGGATCCGCCTTGGGGTCTTTGGGCGATTTTTTTTGCCCTGAAGAGGGTTCCGAGCTAGTTCAGGAGGACGCCCGCTGGCCGCCAAGATGGCCCCTCGGCCTCGGTGGCCTAAGACGCTCCAAGATGTTTCAAGGCGGCCCCCAGGGGCCACACGATGCTCCAGTGGAGCTCCCAAAGGCCCCCCCCAAAATGATCCCAGAGAGCCATAAACGCACAGGCCATTCAGGTTTCTCCGTACTCAGTAAATCTCGCGCTCTTCTCCTTCGGATGGCGTCGGGAGAGCTTCACAGGGCCCCGAGGCTCGAGACGGCCCCACAACTTCGAAGAAGAGCCCAAGAGGGCCCCAAGCGGGCCCCGAGGTCTTCAAGGCAACCCGAACAGGAAGATTCCCAAGAGACCCCCTACACTCCAAGCCATTCCACTTTATGTTCAATATCTCCCCACGCCGGCCCTGAACAGCTCGAAGGCCCCGCATAATCCCAAGCAAGAGGAGGCCGTCCATAGAACGAGAAACGAAAAGCGAGGACAACCGAATGGTTAACGAGGAAGGACGTGTGAGGAATATTAGATGACGAAGGGGCAAGGCATGGAATGAGCCAGTCCGAAAAGCACTCACAGCTAACAACGCCATGGCATGCGCTAGAACCCAAGCGCGCGCGAAGCGCGCGCGCGCGGCGTTCTAGTTTAATCATGTTCGTATATGTCCGAATCCCTCAGTGGTCCTCCGGGATCCGGAGGGTTACGAAGGATGAGAGAGAGAAGGGGCTTCCCATGTAGCACTCGGTGGCCACTCCCGAGGGCGCGCTTCTATCTGTTCCGCAGTTCGATTTCGAAGGGCGCAGTCCTGAGTCGAAGCGAGCGCTGGTTCAGTCAGACCCGGCGTGCTTTCCGCACACCGTGCTGTACGCTGCGGGCAGGGCCGGGAGGGAGGCCGGCACCTCCGCCGCGCGTCCGGAGGGAAGCTCGTGTTGGTGCCGTCGCGTCGTGTGTGTGTGTGTGTGTGTGTGTGTGTGTGTCTCTCTCTGCGTGTGTGTGTGTGTGGGTTTCGCCGAGCAGGCCCACATGAGCACTTGAGCCCGCGCTTTTTTGGAGAGGGGGAGGAAGAGGCGAGAGGGAGACAACGCACACGCCCGCTTGCTGTCCATCTCGCATATCGTGCCAGGGAGTCGACAGGCAACCCTGCCGCAGGACCGTCATCGCCCTTTGCCTCCGGAGTGATACCAGCGGCCAGAAAGGATGCGTTTTTGGGCCATGTTTCCCTGACTCGAAAAGATAGCATACATTAGCACTTGAGCCCGACAAGGGTGCTTTGACAAGCGCGCGCACATGTTCGCAGGTGTGCACGAGCTGTTGCACGCGTCTGCGCACGCGCCCAGATACGGATCACAGTCTGCTAGTTGATCCATCGTCCACCGTAGCCGTACGTGGGCGCTCGCAGATCCATTTGGATACATGCGAGTGCTGATGCCAGATTTTGCCACATATCGCTTGTCTGCCGAGCTGACCAGATTTCCTGGTTGTGTTTGCTTCCACTGCCTTGTCGTCCCTGGAGCCTCGTGATGCGGCATCTGGCCTCCGAGGTGCTGACACCAAGAAGAAGGCCGCCCCAGTTCCTCAGATGCGAGTCTATGAGAAGGCGCGCATCTCGTCCGGCCTGACCTGTCTCGGAAGGAATCGGCGTGAAGAGCATGCAGGAGTTATCGGGCAGTCCCAGGACACGGACGAATCGCCCTGAGCGATCTGGAGCGCTCTCAGGGCGTTCCAGAGTGCTCTGGAACGGCCGCGGCGCCCGATGCATCCGCCCTGACTGCCAGCTCTCAGAGATCCTGGGCAGTCTGTGGTCGATTTTGCCTTTATCCCTACTTTTGTCTTATCTACTCCCCGTCCTTCCCTCTTCCTTCTTCTGTCTTCATCGGCGTCCTTCTCCTCGTTCTCCTCCTCCCTCCCGTGGAAAATCTCTTGGTCAGAATGTGACCCTTCTTCGGGGTTCTGAAAAATGTGAAAACTCCCTGCCCCCTGCTCCTACTCAGACAGGTCCCTGTGGCTAAGAAGCCGTGCGATCCAAATATCCTCCTCCTTCCACTCCCCCTCCCCCTTCCCCTGCCCTTCCCTCTCCTCGTCGTCGTCGTCGTCGTCGTCGTCGTCGTCGTCGTCCTCCTCCTTCTTCTCCGGCCTCCCTGCCTCTTCCTCCTGCCTCCCTGCCTCCCTGCCTCCCTATCTCCCTGCTTCCCTGCCTCCCTGCCTCCCTGCCTCCCTGCCTCCCTGCCTCCCTGCCTCCTCCTCCTCCTGGTTCCTGGTTCCTGGTGGCTGGAAAGAATGTTGTTCGTAGCCTCCTTCCCCTCCTCCTCCTCCTCCTCCTCCTCCTCCTCCTCCTCCTCCTCCCTGCTCCTTCCTTCTCCTCCTGCTGCTCCTCCCTGCCTGCTCCCTGCCTCCTCCCTGCTCCCCAGCCAAGAGACACGGAAGCGCAGGGGAGCGGAGGGGAGGGCAGTCTGCAGGAGTACGCGCAGCACGCCCTAGGATTCGAGCCCCAGGAGAGCGGCAGTCTGTAGGACTACACGCAAAACAGGAAGGATTCGAGAACACACGGGGTTCGAGCCCCATGAGAGAGGAGAGGTAGTCTATAGGATCTGCGTCCTCGCCGCGGGTGTGTGTGTGTGCGCGCGGCGTGATCCTCGTTCCGGCTGGGGGGGATTCCCCTCCGCAGCCCCCGCCCCCAGAACGTTTCGGGGGACGACGGCAAGGGCCAGGGGCAATGTTAGTGGGAGGAGGGCTCGAGGCTCGAGGCTGGAGGCTCGAGGCTCGAGGCTCGAGGTTCTCGGAGGTTTTCGTGGGTTCTCGGCGGTTTTCCGGCCCCCGGGATGCTCTCTGGCAGCTGCGCCTCGCCGAGGGGCGCCTGGGGCTGCCCGGATCGTCCCGAACGGCAGCCGGAAGCCAGACCCGAAAGCCAAACGATGAGGGTCACACGGGGGGGCACAGGCTCTGAAGGCGACGCATCGACCACCAATCGCCCACTCATCGCCGATGAGGGCCGGAAAGCCCACCCCGCCCAGTAGCGTGCGACCTTGCCATCGGGGGCATAACTGTCGCCCATCTATCGGCCACGTATCACCGATTCAGGCTCGATGTTTCCCTCCTTTGACCGTCAAAGAGGAGGGGGAGGGGGGAGGGGGCTGGGCCCTGCTCGAAGGAGCGCCGTGCTGATCTGAGTTCAGGGCCAACGAACAGACGCTGCGGCCTCGACTCACGGCGAGCGTTGGCCTCGACCACACGGGCCCCTGCTCGACTGGCGGAGGCCCCGGCGAGCCCCAGAGAGGCAAGCACAGCCACGCGCGCCGGCCTCTCGGCAGCCCGTCGCTCGGCAGCCGGGGGGGCGGCCACCACCCTCGCGGCTCACGGGCACGAGCTGGGCGGAGAGGGCGAGCACGCCGACGCGTGTGAGCCACAGCGCCTCTGCGGCGACGCGCCCAGGGGGGGGTGGGAGCGGAGGGGGCGCGGGCCTCCTCGGAGGGCTCCGAGGGCCTCCGGCCTCCCGGGGAGCTCCCCGCGCCTCCTCCGCAGCCGCAGGGGGCCTCGTCGGAAGGCCCGAGGGCTTCCGAGAAGCCCCGCCGCCTGCTGAGAGGGCTTCCGCCCCCTCTCGCCTCCCCCCCCCCCCGGGGCGCGCAGCCGATCTGTGCCATCGGAGCGCCACCCCTCCCGCGCGCGCCTGCTTCTCGGCAGAGCGGGCGCGGGGAGACCCCGAGCCGTCGGGCAGGGTATGGGGGGTGTGGCGAGGCAGGTGCGGGTTCCCGCGGGTGGGGGCCGCGAGGGAGGGCAGGCCACGACAGAGGAACCGCAAGCACGGACTGAGGCGCGCGGATCACAGCGGCGGGTCTCCCGCTTCCAGACAGAATCGGCCGCGAGCCGTGGCCGAATCGGGCGACTCCGGCCTCATGTTTATCGGGGGTATGGTGTCCCCGATCCGTGGATCTGGCGCTCTCGCTCGGTATCGTTTATCCGATCCCCATCCCCATCTCCATCGCCTTCGAGACCCCCACCAGATTACCCCCCAGTTGGGGTTCACCCCTCGAAACCCGAAGGGGACGGCCTATATCCCCATCTAGGGGGGTAAATCGGCCAGTGGGGCCCAGGCCACGCCGCTGGGGATGGGGATCGGATAAACGGTACTCAATTGTCTCCCCGATCCGTGGATCTGGCGCTCTCGCGCCATATCCACTTGGACCCGCGATCCCAACAGCAGGGAGGAGAGCAGCTCGCCGTGGGCGTTGGCCGTGTGCGCGAACTTCTGCCTGCCCCGCGCGAGCAGAGAGGCGGACGGGCGCAGGAGAGCAGCTGCAGGCAGAGTTTTTTTTTTTTTTTTTTTCTTGGAGGGTCGGCCCGTCGCCTTCGACGTCACAGGCTCGTGACGTGGGCCCCCGTGGATCTCGAAGCCCTCCCCAGGGCCAGCGTCTTGTCCCGAGACGTTTCCTCTCGACAGCCCCCCCCCCCCCCCGGGCTGGTAGAGGCGGCCTGCGGACGCTGCGAGCGCGGAAGGAGCGGCCGTCGCGACTGGTGTTGCACTCATCAGACATCTGACGGGAAAGACCATCAACTTTCACGGGCTCCAGATCTCGTTTCATGAAATCACGAATCTGGACTGGACCCTGGGCGTTTCCTCAAAGCTGCCTCCCTCTTCGTATACATCCCGTGTATATATATGGGCCTGGACTAGTGTCGCAGAAAACGATTCGAGAAACATCCGTTTCTTAGCTTCAAAATCTTCTAAAGTCTAAGCAGTGACGTACTACCTCTGGGTTTGACGGGCAGGCAGGCCTGCGCGGTGATAATTCGCTCCAGGGCGTTCCAGAGTGCTCCCAGGGCTTTCTGGAACGCTCTGGAACCTGCCGCGGTGCCCTGTACATCCTCCAGACCCGTCAGCTCTCAGATATTCCCGATGTATGTTCATCTGGATTTCTCCTTGTCCTGCCTTCCGCTTGCCCCGAGACGCGCTCGCGCAAGCTCATATGGCAGTACGCAGCTGTGGCGCACGCTCGTGTGCCTGACCGTGTACATGCAAGGAAGAGCGCGCTCTGTGGACGCTGGGAAGGGGCAGGCTCGAACTGGGGGGGGCGCCCGCCCCCCGCTGGAATGGAAGGTGTGGGGTGTTCGAACCAGAGGCCCTCCCCCCTCAAGAGGGGGGTTAAGGGGCTCGAACTGGGTCCCCCCCCCCCTCCCGTGAGTATACTTTCAAGGGGGGGGGTTCGAACCCGCCGCCCCCCCCCCCAAGGGGGGAGGGGCGGGGGCCGGCTGGCTCGAACCCCCCTCGCCCTTTCTCTCACCAGTGGCAGCCGACAGCGGCGAGCGCCGGCGCTGGCGCCGGCGCCGTCGGGCAGCGACGACGACGACGACGACGACCACGACGACGACGACGACGACGACGACGACGACGACGACGACGACGACGACGACGTCGACGACGATCGAGTGTAACTTGGATGCTGTTAAGGCTGGATCTAGCTATGGTGAGATTCTGTTAGAGCTGGATAGAAGAATCGAGCCCTACTAGGACTCAAGTAGAATGTGATCTAGCTCGAGTAGGATTGCATTTGAGCTGGATCGAACCTTCGTAATATTTAATTCGAGTTGGGTCGAACTATAAACATATTCTGTTAGATTTGGATCGAGCTCGATGAGGATGCTAGCAAAATTGGATCCAGCTGTAGTAGGATTCTATCCGAGCTGGATCGAGCCACTGTAGGATTCCATTAAAGTTGGGTCGAGCCTGATCAGGATGCTATGAAACTTGGATCCACCTATTGTACGGTGGGGGCGTTGATTAAGGAATGTGCCCAGGAGGCTGCAGACCCTGGAGGATTCCTTGTTTGATGAGGGCGGCGGTGATGTCCATGGCCAAGCCTGAATTGGAGTTCCACCGGCCTCCAGACACTGGATTCCTTATCTAAGGGTTCCTTGTCCAATGCCCCCACCGTTCCGTAGCCATTTTGGCTCAAGGCAATGAACCGTCCCGACGACCGCGAGTCTTCCGGGGCGACTTCTGAGCGCGAGGGAGGTTCCGCTTTGAGGCCACCTTCCTTTCCAACAAGTGTGAGCTGCCTGAGCAGCACCCTCCAGGACCTTCGGGTCACGACTTCTTCTGGGTCGGCGGGTCCGCCCCCGTCGGCCCCTGCCTGCTGCGCGCCCGCGGCTGAGCAGCGCGCCCGCCCGACCCAGCGATGGGGCCCAAGGCCGAGCCTGGCTTCGTCGTGTGCACGGGCTGCCGCTACCGCTGGAACTTCCGCAAGAACGCGAAGTGCTGGCAGTGCGGGATCGGGCTGGAGCTGGCGCCCGCGAAGCCTTCGCCCCGTGGCGGGGTCTGGGCGGACGGCGGCGGCGGCGGCTCCCAACTCGCACATCGTGGAGGCGGCGGCGGAGGCCCGCCGAAGGATGGCGCCAAGGGCGGCAAGGGCGGCAAGGGCCGCGGTGCAGCCTCCCGTGGCGGCGGCGGCGGTGGCGCGGGCGGCCGTGGCGGAGGCGCCTTCCCGAAGGCCCCCTGGTCGACCCCGCCCGAGAGCGAGCTCGACGCGCTCCTCGCCTGTGGGGACCCCGCCATCGCGGCCAGGCTGCAGGAGGCGGTCCGCGACGCGCGGGGCTACGTCGCGC